CCCCTGCTGCCGTGGGCTTTGTGACTGTCTCCCACCCGGCACTTTCCTCAACACTCCTGCCTCAGCCCAGCACGCCCACCCACCCCACCTCTTCACATTGCCCCCTGCCACTGTCCTGAGTGCCCTCCTGCCCCTGGCGACGGCTTTCCCCCTCTCCCTGCACCCCCAGCTCTGTCCTTGACCAGAGCCTGGCCCTTCCTGCCCTCGTGACCAGCACCACTTGTCCTATGTTATGAGCAGCCCTCAGCCCATCTCCAACTTCTGCACATGCAGGCCTGCCTTCTGGCTAACACCACTGCTCTCCTAGGCGGGCTGCAGGGTAGCTGTGACCTTCTTCCTTTACTTCCTGGCCACCAACTACTACTGGATTCTGGTGGAGGGGCTGTACCTGCATAGCCTCATCTTCATGGCCTTCTTCTCAGAGAAGAAGTATCTGTGGGGCTTCACGGTCTTCGGCTGGGGTAGGCAGGCGTGGGGGACAGCGGGGGCTGGGGCAAGGGTGGGGCCATGGGCAGCAGGGTCAAAGGGTCAGGTGCCCACACAGCATATGCCATCCCATCCACCCTTCTGCGAGTCTGACCCCATCCCAGATTCAGGCAACAAGCCTTGGCCAGGGGTCAGGGTTCACCTGGGATTGGCTCAGCCTGGGGTTGCGGTTCACTTGGCCTTGAGGCTCAGCCCAAGAGAAGGAGGGGGTCCTCTCAAGTTAAGATTCAGGTCAGGATCAGAGTGGGATCTCGGGTCAGAGATCACACTAGGGCCAAGGTTGGGATCTGGGATGCCGCCTCCACCCTGAGCCCTGTTTCCCTACTGATCCCCCTCACTGCCTGCAGGATCCATGACCCAGAGCCCCAGGGCGGGCTCTCGGCATCATCTGAGCTTCAGCAGCTCCTCTGCAGAGTGGGTTGCTGGGGCTCTGCACGGCTCCCCCACGGGCTCTGGGATTGAGTTACCGATAATTGTCCATTATTGTTGGCAGCTCCCGAGCTTGGCTGGGCTCCGGGGCAACTGGCCAGACTGGGGCGACTGGCCAGACTGCAAAGGGGTAGGCCCGGTGGCTGAAGCCCTCCTCCCTGCACTCAGCACCCAGAAGCTCTCAGGTCAACAGCCACAGCCCTTTGCCACACCCTGACCTTGTCCTCACCCACAGCAAGCCCCAGAGCTGGGGGAGATCTGGGCCTGGTTCCAGGAATTGACATGGGCTCTGGGGCTAGAGGGTGTCAGGGTGGGCAGGAAACACACAGATTGGGAGCACACAGAGCTTCATGACACAAGAATGTCACAGCTCTTTTTCCCACCATAAACCCAGGTCGCACCCTGCCCCTCCCAAGAGTTCACCTGGCCTAGAATGAAGTGTGAGGGTCTGGAAGGTGGGAACCTGGGCTCCCTTCTAGAGGCAGAGCTCACTGAGAGGTACCACGTGCATTCTGAGCTGACTCGGGCCTGGGAACACCAAGGTTCCCCTGTGGACTTTACTCAGCCTGGAATGACGGTTGTCACTCCATCCAGTCTCATCCGTGGGGGCTAGGGCCTTTCACGCTGGGTGTTGGGGAGGGGGGCGTGCTGGGACAGAAGAATGCTGGCACTGGGCCCCCTCCCCACAAGAGCACCCCGTGCGGATCACTGCCCTTGAGAGGAGAGCAGTGGGGAATGGGCTGGGCACGGGGAAGTCAGCGATGTCTTATTTTACCCTGTGCCTGGCAGGTCTGCATGTGTGGGTAGGAGACGCGGAGCCAAGATGAGGGCAGAGGGCTGAACTGGGCGCTGGGCACTAGAGCCTTCAGAGGAGGCTGTTGGGGAAGCAGAGCGGCACATGCCAGCCTGTGGCTCTGTCGCCAAGCAGCCCGTGGCTCCAGGGTGAGGGGGGTCAGGGACGGTGACTGGGTAAGCTAGGGGTCCTCAAGGATGAGAGGGGTCTGGCGAGGAGGGCTGAGGGGGGAGACATCGTGGGCGGCACCTACGGTTCCTCACACGCTGCCCCCTCCGCACCCACAGGTCTGCCCGCCATCTTCGTGGCCGTGTGGGTCAGTGTGAGAGCCAGCCTGGCCAACACCGGGTAGGTCCAGGTGGAGAAGGGGGCCAGCGGGGGCGGGGGGGTTCTGACACAGGCCAGAAATACCCCTGGAGCCCTCTTCCTCTGTGCGGTATGTGAGGGGGCTTCCTGTACCCCGGCCCTGAGTGGGCCCCACTTCAGTTTTGTATCCAGCGTTGAGTCAGGTGCCCCCTCAGGGTCACAAGAGGCTGCTGCAAAAGAAGCGTGTGAGGGTGGCCTTAGGCCCGGCCACCCCCAACACTTGGCTGTCCTCTGTCAGAGCAGACCAGCTCTGGGGCTACTCTGTGGGCAGGCTCAGGGTGGGAACAGGGAGGTGGGAGCTGATGCCTCGGCCTCCCCCAGGTGCTGGGACTTGAGCTCCGGGAACAAGAAGTGGATCATCCAGGTGCCCATCCTGGCCTCCATCGTGGTGAGCAGGGGTGGCAACAGGCCCGGGTGGGGGTATGTGCCACAGGCCCCAGTGCCCAGCCCCTGACGGGGACCAGAGGCTTCCCTGGACCCCAGGACTGGCGCCACAGGCCTGAGAAGCAGCTGCCCCCCACCCCAGTCCGCTGGGGAAACCAAGGGCCCACCTGGGGACGCAGTGGCAGAGCAGAGTCCGGGCAGGGCCGCATGCCCCGGGAACCTTGCCCCCACCCCCGGCTGGGGTGCAGCTCGAGATGCAGCCCTCCCTCCCTCCCACAGCTCAACTTCATCCTCTTTATCAACATCGTCCGGGTGCTGGCCACCAAGCTGCGGGAGACCAATGCCGGCCGGTGTGACACGCGGCAGCAGTACCGGTGAGCTGTGCCCGGCAGACCCCGGCTCCTCAGAGCTCAGGGGTCATCAGACCCCGGCACCATGTGAAAAAGCAAAGACAGAGGCCCCAGGAGTGAGCCTGTGTCAGGGGGAGAACCCAGCTCCTGACTCCCTGGCTGGCCCCAGGGATCTCACCCCAGAGCCAACCTGGGCCATTCGGTGCTAGGCCCTGCCCTAGAGCTGGGGTCTGCAAGGGTGAGACAAACCCAGACCTCTCCTTAAAGAGGGAGAGGTCATTCAAAGTCTGAGGGACCTGAGGGCCGTGGGTGGCTTCGAGAGGGCGGTGGTTCAGCTAAGACCTGAGGAACGGGCCGTGGGATGAAGAAGGAAGGGGGGGGGGTGGGCGATGAGTGTGTGCCAGTAGGGGGACCGGCAGGTGGAAGCACCAAAGGGCCCTATTAACACTCTGCCAAGACAGCGAAGGGTGGTTGTCCCAGGTTAACTGGATCGTCCTCCACCCTGGCCCGAGCCTCAGGTCCCGTAGTGGCTCCCGAAGCCTGGAGCCTAGGGCTGGTGGGTGGGGACGGCACCGTGCCTACTGAGGGGAAGGGGCTTGTTCCTGACCCGCGTGCCCTGCCGGCCCAGGAAGCTGCTCAAATCCACGCTGGTGCTCATGCCGCTCTTTGGCGTCCACTACATCGTCTTCATGGCCACGCCGTACACCGAGGTCTCAGGGACGCTCTGGCAAGTCCAGATGCACTACGAGATGCTCTTCAACTCCTTCCAGGTGCGCAGGCCCTGCCCAAGGCCCGGCCGAAGGTGGGGAGGGCAGCGGAGGGGGCTCCACTCCCACCCTCCCTGGATGCGGCCTCCGGGCCCTGACCCCACGTGCCTCTCTCCACAGGGATTTTTTGTCGCCATCATATACTGTTTCTGCAACGGCGAGGTAAGCGGTGGGCGACGTTGGTACGAGGCAGGGAGGACGCGAAAGCGCCAGGGGCCCCCCAAGTCCTGTCCTTCCATTCTTCTGTTCGGCTCCTCCTATATTCCCCCAAGAACATCCCTGAGGACATTTGTGAAAGCAGAGTCTTTCCAGATGATTCAGGCTTGGGACGTCCTAGGATTTGTGGGCTCTTCGATCTCTGGCATAGCCAGTGTCTTCCCAAGCCCACAGTTGAATCTCCGTAATCCAGACTGAACAACTCAGCCACCCTTGGGGCCATTTGAGCCTTGTAGACTCTGGGCGTGTCAGCTGCCTGAAGCCAGGCACCATGTTCTGAGGATGACGGGATTTTACTTGGCCTTGGAATTTTCCAGTGATATCCCGTGCCTTCGGTTCTATTCAGTGCTGAGTGTTGTAGGGGCAGGGAGGAGGGCACGGCTGGGCCTGGTGGGGGGGCACATGTGGCAGAGGGGTTACCTGACGGCCTGCCCTCCTCCCGCCACCCCAGGTACAGGCTGAGATCAAGAAATCCTGGAGCCGCTGGACACTGGCACTGGACTTCAAGCGGAAGGCACGCAGCGGAAGCAGCAGCTACAGCTACGGCCCGATGGTGTCTCACACGAGTGTGACCAACGTAGGCCCCCGCACAGGACTCGGCCTGCCCCTCAGCCCCCGCCTGCTGCCCGCCGCCACCACCAACGGCCACCCCCCGCTCCCCGGCCACACCAAACCGGGGGCCCCGGCCCTCCAGACCACACCACCTGCCGTGGCTGCTCCCAAGGACGATGGGTTCCTCAATGGCTCCTGTTCGGGGCTGGACGAGGAGGCCTCTGCGCCGGAGCGGCCACCTGCCCTGCTGCAGGAGGAGTGGGAGACAGTCATGTGACAGGGGACCTGAGGGTGGGACCCATGGACATGAGGGCCGACAGACAGACCAAGAGACGGGTGGTTGGACGGTTGCCCACTCAGGGCTGGGGCTGGGAAGACAAAACAGGAAAAAAAAAAAAAAAAGGGAAAAGGAAGCAGCGTGTAGCTTCCTGTGGTCTGAACTGGGGACTTGGGAGGGGAGGGGCAGGAGCATCGGAGAAGTTCATGGGTGTCACCTCAGGAGGGACTCTGGGGGCCACAGGCACAGTGGAGCAGGAAAGACCTGGGAGAGGCCTACAGTGGCTGGAGTTTGCTGGGGTCACACAGGGACCCGGCGGAGCCATGCAGGGGCGGGGCCCCAACCTTTCCCTGCCACCCTTGGATGCTTCTGGTTGGACCGAGGCCCCCGGGGGGACCCAGGCTCCTCTGGGCCAGCTCTCCACCTGCTGCCCCAGTCACTGTCCACCAAGGGCCAACCGCATATCCCTAGGTCCCTGGCCCTGCCCCGGGCCCCTTCCTGCCCCTCTGGTGGCCATACTGGGCCCCTTGGAGGCTGGGGTACGCAGGGAGCCCTCCATACATGGTCCCAGCCCCCACCCCAGATGTGACACACTCCTGGCAATCAGACTGAGGGTGAGGGTGCGGGGAACATGCTGAGGCCATCAAGTGAAGGGTGGGCTGCGGCCTCTGCTCTGGCCTGGGAGCTGTGGGGGAGCCTGGGGACAGCCCACAGGTCTGGCTGGGCTGAGGACCTGCAGGACTCAGCATGTCCACTCCCTGTGCATCCGAGGCTGTCGCTGAGCATCCCCCTCCGTCACCCATCCACTACATTCCTTGCTCCCTTGGCCCCTGCACTGCTCAGTCCTGGGCCCCAGAATGACCTCCTTGAGAACTGACCCAGCTGAGTGTCCATCCCGTGCTCTGACCAGCACAAGCTTCTTTCTCCATTCCGAAGGCAGCCCTGCCCGACTCTGGGCTTACACAGGCCAGCACCCCTGCCTGGCCCTTCCTTCAGCCCAACGCCACCCATTTGTTCTGCTCCATGGACTCAGCGTCTGGAAGGCGCTCCCGTCTCTAACAGCACCGCCACCACGGGGGGCTGGGTGAGGGGTCATGGGGGAGGGACTGCAAACTCACTTGGGCAGCAGGTGGCACAGGTGTGCTCTGGGCAGCCTCAGGCCCGGCCCTGCCTGTCCTTCTAGATGGTGGGCAGGGCAAACAACTGCCCAAGGCCTGGCACACGCTTGGAGCACCATGTGGTGTCATGTGCTTGGAATGGCGTGAGACGCACGGGCCAGGACCTGAGCCGGTTTAGGCATCGAGGACTCCCATGAACACTGGGCACCACTGGAAATCATACAGGGAGAGCAACAAGGTCTGAGCCACATTTAGAAGAGTCCTTGCATCAGTGGAGAAGCTGGAGGAAGTTAGGGGTCAGGGGACAGGCAGCCTTGTGGGAGGCAGGTGGCAGGCCAGAAGCACCCTGGATGAGGTGCTGGCTGGGAGGAGGCCCAAGCAGAAGAGAACCCCCATCCCCTTCCCAGGGGTGTCTGTGTGATGCCCCTCTTCAGGGCTCAGAGCTATGGGACCTCTGGACCACTGGGCTTTCTGGGAAACGCGTCCCACCCACCCCACAGGCAGGCACTGAGGCCTCTAGTGGGCTGGGCCCTGGGGCCCCACCGTCTAGGCCAGACTCCTCCCGGGGAGGCTTCTGAAATAGAGTCCATGAGGCCCACTCACCCTGAAACATCCCCCTCAGACTAGGCATGCCCCAGAACAGAGCTGAGCCTCCTCTTTCAGATTGGATTCCCTCTAGGACAGGGTTTAGTCTCTTCCTACAGACCAGGGACCTCCATCCCAGGACAAGTCTGTGCGAGATACCCACAGGACAGGGCTGTGCTCCTCAGACTATATACCCCCACACCCCTACCCCAGGACAGAGCCAGGCCTTCCCCTTTAGACTGGGAACCATTCCTGGGATGTCCAGGACCGGACTGGACCTTATACCAGTCCAAGCCCCTAGGCCAGGACCCTCCTCTCTCAGACCCAGAGCCCCTGGGCCAGGGCCGGGCTTCCCACTCAGAGAGGCCCTTGAGCAGCGCCTGGGCCATCCAGGTGTTGGCAGAGGAAGTGGGAGCCCTCAGTGGGCCTGGCAGGCAGTCAGGACCCTGTTTGCCTTGAGCAGGGGCTGGAGCCAGGTGGTCACTTCTCCCTTCAAGGCCTCCCAGCGCAGCCAAGCCGCAGGGAACACGTAAACAGCAGGCAAGCCGGGAGCAGGCAGGCAGGGGGGAGGGCACGGAGACCCCGGCTCCGCAGCCTCCTTGGCCACAGCGGCTGGCACCTCATGGGCTGCCATCAACTCTGAGCTGGGCCAGCGAGGCTGCCTGCAGCTCCCACCTGTCCTGAGCGTGTGGAGGGGCCCTGCCCTCTCTGGCCTGTGTTCCTCCGGGCAGACTGGGACAGGGACCTCTGAAGAACATTGGAAGGTACCCTCTTAGGGCCCCCTGGAACACAAGGCCAGGCCTCTAGGCTGGGTGGGACCATAGCTCCCGGCTCAGAGTGGGGCCTAGGGGTCCAGGGGCACCAAAGAGACGGCCCTGCTCACCCTCAGCCTGCAAGCCTGTTGAGAACCAGGATGGAGCAGGCCCCCCATGCCCACCTGGAGCGGGCAGGCTGGGAGAGCCCACATCCTTCTGCTCTCACCCTGGGAAGGTGGGAGGGGGCAGGACACAGGGGAAAGGGGACTGAGTTCTCTGGAAGTTCAGAAGGGACACGACCCTGCCCTAGAGGGTCTTAAGGGGACACAGCCCTGCTCTGATGGCGTGTGAGGGGCCGTGACCCTGCCCGGGGGTCTGACAAGGTCCTCCTCTGCCTTGGTTCATGGAAGAGGTCTGGCTGTGGGGGTCCGTCGGGGGGGCAGGAGCAGTGGGGCTTGCCGCTCAGCTCCGGCACGCAGGCTGGGCTGGGTCCAGCTGCCTGTACCTCATGCCTCCTCAGCCAATTCCGGGAGAATGATCCCCGCCTGAGGCTACCATGGCCAACTGAAACAAGCCTTGGCTGGGGCGGAAGAGCCTCCTCTCGGGCAGAGGAGGGGACTCCAGAGCCAGGCAGGGGCCTGGACCCTGGCTGGCTCCCGGTGTGTGCTGTGTGATCCCGGGCAAGCTGCCTTCCCTCTCTGAGCCTCAGCTTCTCTTCTGTGGTCAGGCCCCTGTCCAGGTCTCCAGGCCTGTGTGGATTCAGTAGTCCCACTCCTCAGTGGGCCCCCAGGACACAAGGCCAGGATATCCCCAGTGACTGGTTCCCTCCTTCTGTATATCACAGTCCTGCAGGCAGTGGGGGCCAAGAGATGGTGGGTGTGGATTCTGGGCAGCTCCTCCTGTCTGAGGGCCGGGGGAGCGGTGAGGGGAAGGGGGCCAGGGTCTCAGAGGCAAAAGAGGCAGAAGACCAGATTCCAACCTTCCCTTCTGGCCTCAGCTCTCCATCTGTGGGGGGAAGGGAGGCAGCTGCATTAATTATGTGCCTCCTGTTCAGGCCCCCCGGCCCCCAGCAGTCTTTGTGGGGGTAGAGAGGTGAGCTTCCCAGGGAACTGCTGGGGGTGGGGTGGGGTGGGGAGCTGTGCAGATGAGCAGCCCCCATGGGCTCCTGCTGGCTTTGCTTCCCAATGGGGAGGAGGAGGGGACGAGGCGAGGCTGGGAGGATGGGCTTCCGGGCATGGGAGGGCTGGCCTGGGGCCACCCAGCACCTGTGGCTGCAAACGCTTCAGGTGCTGGCATTCGAGGCCCTTCCCCTGCTCCTCCCGCTCCCCACGCTGTGCTCTCCTGACAGCCCAAGGCAGCTGGTCCCTCCTGGGAACCGTCCAACCCCAGCATGTATCAGTCCGGGGACAGCCTTGATGGGAACCACACTCTGGCCCCGCCCAGAGGCCACACTGGCCAGCTGGGTGCCCCCAACGAGCTCACCATCAGTGATAGAGGGATGTGCTGTGGGGCTGTTATGTGTGTACATATTTGTGTGGGTCTATGTTTATTTGTATTTGTGTGTGCATATGTGTCTGTGTATTTATTAGTATTTATGTATGTATATTTATAAACGTGTGTGCCTGTTCATATATGTGCCTAGCCATATGTGTCTGCTGTGTCTTAATTGTATTGTCAATTTGTGGTTCTATCTGTATATAAATGATACCTATCTGTGTGTGTGTGTGTGTGTGTGTGTGTGTCCATTTGCGTGGCTGTATTATGTGTCTACTTGTATTTGTGTGTATGTCTGTGTATACGTGTGTGTCTGTTTGTGTGTGTGTGTCTGTGTGGACCTGTGGTCTGAGAACGCCGCCTGTGGGTGGAATTTGGCCCAGAGACGTGTTTGGTTTGGCCCCTACAATATTTTCAACGTCTTGGGCCAACATTTAAAAATCAGGATATTTCACATAAAAATTCAGCTTTTCAGTTTCTCTTAAAAATTCAGAAGCCCTGGCAGCCTTGGGCCTGTGCTCCCATGAGGCTGCTCTCCTCCAGCGCCACACACGGGTGCCCATCCTCCTGCCCTCCGCACCCTCCCCACTTACCTGCCTACTGGCACCTTGAGGATGACTCAGTTTGTGACCCCAGAGTGTGCGGTCACAACTGAGTGCGAGCCCAGCTGTCAGGGAGCACGTACCTGGACTGAGTCTGCAATGTGGGGCTGTACATGTGAATGCATATGTGTGTGTGAGGTCAGTCTGTGTGAATAGGTAAGTGTGAAGGCATGAGTGTGTGCATCAGGCCAATCTGAGTGCACGGGGGACATGCGGGTGCCTGCGTGTGCATGTGGGGGTATATGTGTGAATGCACGCACGTGTGTGTGCATGGGGGGGGTGTGTGCGTGGCTGTGTTCGTGGCCATGTGGAGTGTGTGGGCCACTGTGGTCTGGCATGCTCTGCATAGGGGCCTCTTCCGGCCTTTGATGGGGAATTGGATTCCCAGCTTCTGGCTGGGCTGCCTTGTGGGATTTATTTCTGTCTCAGTGCCGACCAGAGGCCTG